GGTGCCGCCCGTCCCGGAGTTGTCGCCGGTCGGCCGTAGTTCCCGGAGGTGTCGCCGGCCCGGAGGTGCGCCCGACCCGGAGGTGCCGCCCGGCCCGGAGGTACCGTCGGTGCTTATACCTTATTGTCCCGGCATTTCGTTTGTTTCCTTTCTTCTTAATTAATGCTAATTATCGTTGTTTGACATTCGCCATACGGCTATCGTGATAATATTTTATCGTACAATAGGACTTTTCGATCGTTCGCTCTCCGCGACAATGTCTCGATTGAACGCGCCTTTCGACGCTCGCGCTCGCATACGGCCGTGCGTAGGACCGTGCGTCGCCGACCGCCTGGCCGGCCGGTTGGGTACATAAGAGATACGTCGCGCTCGGCGCGTCGAACGAGTCGAGCGAGTCCGGACGAGTCGTAAACGTACTTTCTCGAGTCTCTCGCCACTCCGGCGTGTTTCGACCGCTCTCCGTACCGTCGCCGACCGCTTGGCCGGTCGGTTGGGTACTATAAGAGGTAGGAGAGATTAATATTGTTGTGTCGCGCTCTCGACGTTGACAAACGAAGAATCGCAAACGGATCGAGAACGGATTTTGTCGAGTCGCGACTCTGACACGGAGAGAACATTTATATAAAATGTTTGATTTGGAAACCACGAATATATAAAATAATATACGATCGTCGCAGAACGGCGCCGCCGCCAAGTCTTCTCATGCTTGGAGTTGCGTGTCTCGCGAGAACGTACGTTCGACTCTCGCGTCGTCTCGTATTCCTCTTCGCCGGGGATTACGGTGCGGCTCTTCTCGTTCGTCGCCGAACGCGCGCAAAATTAACGCACTTATTTATTACGAGCACAGCATTGCCACGAGTCGGTGTCGCAAGACCGAATGGCTCTTATGTGGCGCGCACGCCTCTAGTGTGTTGGCCGCGCGGTTCCCTCTCGTTTCGTCGCACGCAGCGGAATCGTCGCGCTTACCGAGCATCTACTCCACGGATACGAGTTTGCGGGAAGAGTTGCTTCTTCCCGCTCGCTTTGTACGCCGTAGCAAAATCTTATTGCTGGTCGTGTGCGGTTAAACGCGTACGAACCAGACAGAACAGTCCTCGACGTCTAAGCATCGCCATCGTCGATCTAGCGTCAGGGTGAATCGCGCGGTCTCTCGAGACCGCGCATCATAACATTTGGGAGAATAAGAACACGAGTATTTTGATCTTGTGGATTTTTGAACGGAGAAGGAGAGAAGAGAGAGGCGGCGGCGTCGGGGGTTTACTCTCGCCTCCGTCGTTCTCTCGTACGCTTTACATAATAGCGTTAAACACAGCAGAGTGTCGCCGACCGGTTGAGCAAGACCGGCGGCAAATAAAATGGCACATACGAGCATGTCGCGCGCGCGTCGGTGTTCCGGCATCGAACGCGCGCGCGCGCGAAAAAGAGCTAGCGACGAGTCTTCGGGCTCGCTCGCGAGTTACTCCCTTGCGAGTAACCGAACACGAAGCTCCCTGGTTGATCCTGCCAGTAGTCATATGCTTGTCTCAAGATTAAGCCATGCATGTCTCAGTGCATGCCGAATTAAGGTGAAACCGCGAATGGCTCATTAAATCAGTTATGGTTCATTAGATTGTACCCACATTTACTTGGATAACTGTGGTAATTCTAGAGCTAATACATGCAAAACAGAGTCCCGACCAGTGATGGAAGGGACGCTTTTATTAGATCAAAACCAATCGGTGGCGGCGGCTCGCCGTTCGTCCACCGTTTATTTTGGTGACTCTGAATAACTTTGTGCTGATCGCACGGTCCTAGCACCGGCGACGCATCTTTCAAATGTCTGCCTTAAACTGTCGATGGTAGGTTCTGCGCCTACCATGTTGTAACGGGTAACGGGAATCAGGGTTCGATTCCGGAGAGGGAGCCTGAGAAACGGCTACCACATCCAAGGAAGGCAGCAGGCGCGCAAATTACCCACCCCGCACGGGGAGGTAGTGACGAAAAATAACGATACGGGACTCATCCGAGGCCCCGTAATCGGAATGAGTACACTTTAAATCCTTTAACGAGGATCCATTGGAGGGCAAGTCTGGTGCCAGCAGCCGCGGTAATTCCAGCTCCAATAGCGTATATTAAAGTTGTTGCGGTTAAAAAGCTCGTAGTTGAATCTGTGTCGCACACCGTCGGTTCACCGCTCGCGGTGTTTAACTGGCGTGATGTGTGACGTCCTATACCGGTGGGCTTAGCCTCGCGAGGGGCGGCCCAACTAATATCCCGTCGCGGTGCTCTTTACTGAGTGTCGAGTCGGGCCGGTACGTTTACTTTGAACAAATTAGAGTGCTTAAAGCAGGCTACCTTCGCCTGAATACTGCGTGCATGGAATAATGGAATAGGACCTCGGTTCTATTTTGTTGGTTTTCGGAACCCCGAGGTAATGATTAATAGGGACAGATGGGGGCATTCGTATTGCGACGTTAGAGGTGAAATTCTTGGATCGTCGCAAGACGGACAGAAGCGAAAGCATTTGCCAAAAATGTTTTCATTAATCAAGAACGAAAGTTAGAGGTTCGAAGGCGATCAGATACCGCCCTAGTTCTAACCATAAACGATGCCAGCTAGCGATCCGCCGAAGTTCCTCCGATGACTCGGCGGGCAGCTTCCGGGAAACCAAAGCTTTTGGGTTCCGGGGGAAATATGGTTGCAAAGCTGAAACTTAAAGGAATTGACGGAAGGGCACCACCAGGAGTGGAGCCTGCGGCTTAATTTGACTCAACACGGGAAACCTCACCAGGCCCAGACACCGGAAAGGATTGACAGATTGATAGCTCTTTCTTGATTCGGTGGGTGGTGGTGCATGGCCGTTCTTAGTTGGTGGAGCGATTTGTCTGGTTAATTCCGATAACGAACGAGACTTAGCCTGCTAAATAGGCGTACCCTATGGTATCGCGGAACTTTTGAAAGAAAATCTGCCCGATTTTTTAGAAGAAGTGCCACTATTTGAAAGAAATAAAATGTTCTTTCAACAAGACGGTGCTTGACCACACAACGCCAGGATTGTAACAAACTACTTGAACGAGCAGTGTTCGAGATTCGAACGGTAATAACCCGCGGACAAGAAAGCGTTAAAATATTCATGCATCTCGATCATGCCTCATGCAGCATGCATATAATTTATTAATTAATATCGTGGTCTAACATGCGTATTTTAAATTATATTTAAATTAGCGCTCGGCCGCGAGAGTATACGGATACTCCGCGCCTTCGAAAATAAGCGCTTAAAACAGTCTAAATTGTAAACACCCGCTGTCGCGCGAGAGGAGAGAAAAACAAGTAAATAATTACAGTAAACGTTCCTTCGCCCTTAATATCACAATAGAACGACAGCAAATGTACTCGAATATTCTAGAATTACAAGGCGTATATAAGCCTCCTCTCTCGCGACCGCGGCGCTTTTTCCGATTGCTCATCGCGAATAAAGTGTGTTCATACGATAAAGATTGCTTGTCTTTGTCTAATTCATTACCGTTGCTTGCGGACACTTAGTAATTTACAACTCGGCTAATTCTCTCGGTAAATTCGGTGCGGTATATATTTGTAATTTTTGTTAATAGTTTATATAAATATATTTTTTTGTGAACGTTACGCGTGTGTCGAGTGTTGTGTCTATTTCTCGGTCTCGCTTCCGACCACGTCCTATCCATCTTTCCGTCGCGCACATTTTTTGGTCCTTCGAGCCGGATTCCTCCGGAACCTCCTGTGAATCCGGTGCCACGGAAGCGATTGTGATTGAGTGTCGGTGACCAGTGCTTCTGGAACAGAGAAACATTGTTAGAAATGACAGACACGAAGGCGATCATTGCCACCGCCACGGTGCTGTACGGCAAGATCTCGCGCGCGTTCGAGAAACCTGCGGAAGCTCGGCGAGGCCAATATGACCCTCGGCGCGGTGGAGGCCCGGCTTCAAAATCTCGAGAAGCTATGGGATAAATTCGACGCTCTTAATGATACGTTAGCCGATCGGGTTGACGAAAAAGCATGAGGTCTACGCTAAACAGGACATCCCGTCCTTAGGCGAGGAAGCTTACCTGCTGAACAAGGACCTCATGCTCGATCTGAAGAGCGCTCTCCAGCTGCAGCTACAGGCAGCCAGCTCTACCGCGGCCGCGACAACTAGTCCCGCTCCTCGGACAGCGCTGCCAAAAATCCAACCGCCTACCTTCGCCGGGAATACGAGGATTGGCCTTCATTCCGGGATCTGTTTCCAATCCCTCATCGGCCGGAATCAGGCAGCAAAACCTGTGGAGAAGTTACACTACTTAAAACTTTGTGTGAAGGGTGACGCCGATCTGCTGATTCGTAACCTCAGCACCACAGAAGACAACTATGAAATCGCCTGGAAAACTCTAAGCGATTATTACGAGAACAAAAGATTGCTGACTCGTAATTATCTGAATAATTTCTTAGCGTTGACCAAGATGAAAAGCGAATCCGCCGCTGAATTGAGGAGGCTTTTCCATGGAGTAAAAACAACTGTCAGCTCCCTGAAGAGCATAGACCGACCGATAGACCGCACGGAGGATCTCTTCGTCCACCTCGTCGTAGAGCTCCTCGACAGCCGCTCTAGGCGAGAATGGGAGAGTGATATAAGTCACACCACGAGTCCGCCAAGCTACGCCTCGCTTGAGGCCTTCATAGAACGTCGGCTCCATACGTTGGAGGCGCTTTTTTTCGGCCAGGAACGACAGCAGCAGCTCCAGCACTACGAAATCAACGAGGAGCCACCACGTCAAAGGCCAAGATCCAAAAGAGAAGTCCAGAAGCCGGTGCTCCATCTGCCAGGGGGACCACTTTGTTATGTTCTGCGGCGGCGACTATAAGGATAAGACGGCAATGGCGCGTAAGCAGCTCGTCCGTGAGCATAAGCTCTGCTCAAACTGCCTTGGCCGGCATCAATCTTCTGAGTGCTCTTCGAAGAAGACGTGTACAGCGTGGTGGCAGTCGACATTACTCCTCGCTTCACGATGCATTCCGGGAAGCCGAGGCCGCCACGACGTTTCACGTGGCTCAAGGCGCAGACTCTTCCTCCGCAACGGTGCTGCTCGCTACGGCTAGGGTCCGCGTCCTCGACTGCCACGGAAGCTGGCAGTCCGCTCGCGCTCTGATCGACCAGGGCTCCGAATCCTCCATCATTTCGGAGCGATTAGCGCAGCGCTTACGACTCCCTAGAAGAGCAGCCGCCGTTAGTGTCTATGGAGTCGGAGAGAAAAGGACCGGAGTGACAAAGGGGAAAATGAGACTCACCCTGCAGTCGCGCAGAGGGGAATCGCCCACCTTCGTCAACGCTTTAGTGCTGCCGAAGTTGACGCTGTTTTCCGGGAGGATGCCGCAGCAGTAGACGAACCTGGACCCATCTGGAGGACCTGGAGCTCGCCGATCCGGAATTCTGCTCCTCGGACCCCGTCGACATCCTACTGGGAGCCGACGTATATGGGACCATCATCCGTCAGGGTCTACGAAAAAGAGGTTCTAAGGATCCAGTAGCTCAACAAACCTCGTTGGGCTGGATTCTCTCAGGTACAGTTAGCTCGACGGCGCCCAGCCAACACATCTCCGCTCATCACTGCCAAATTGAAGAGGACATCACCTGCTTAGTGCGGCGGTTCTGGGAGCAGGAGGAAGTCCACCGGCCATCTCCGACCCTCACCAAGGCGGAACTAGAGTGCGAGGCGCACTACCGCCGTCATCACTCGCGCTCTCTTGACGGCAGGTACATAGTGCGGCTGCCAACGATCGAGCCTCTCCCAGATCTGTCTGGGACTCGTCGCGCCGCCAGTCGTGCTCTGCAACAGACGGAGAAAAGGTTAAAGAAAGATGCCGACTTTAAGGACATGTACGTAGAGTTCATGCAAAAGTACAAGGAACTGCGACATATGATGCTTGCACCAGCGCCAGCTGAGCCACAACGAGGGTACCTGTTACCTGCCGCATCACGGGGTCCTGCGTCCGGACAGCACTTCCACTAAGCTGAGGGTCGTGTTCAACGGCTCGAGCTCCTTGCCGAACAGGGACTCTCTCAACCAATTCTTCTGACTGGACCGAATCTGCTTCCTGCGCTGGCTGACATCCTGCTGCGTTGGCGACGCCACAGATACGTCTTCGCTGCCGATATCGAAAAGATGTATCGGCAGATCCTAGTGCATCCGGACGATCGAAGCCTGCAGCGAATCCTGTGGAGAGACGACTCTAAGAACGACGTCCAGGAGTTCTGGCTATGCACGGTCACTTACGGGCTCTCATGCGCCCCGTATCTGTCTGGCCATCCGTACCTTACGCCAACTCGCCGAGGACGAAGAGCATCGCTTTCCGAAAGCGCGCCGACATCCTGCGGAGCGATGTCTACATGGATGACATCGTGTCCGGTGCCGAGAATCAAGAGGAAGCAGAATCTATGGTGAGGCAGCTGACAAATATATGCACGGCGGGCGGGTTCACACTAAAAAAGTGGTCTACAAACGCCTCCTACCTGCTGAGCCTCGTGGAACCGGACGCGCGCCTGCAACAAGAGGCCAGATGGTGGCTGCCCGGCGAGAGTCATTCCACTCTCGGCCTTCGATGGCAACCGTGCGACGACCGCTTCGCCTTCGCCACCCACCGGATCACTCTCTCAGCGGTCACCAAAAGTCGGTCCTTTCTTTGACGGCCAAATTATTCGATCCACTCGGCTGGCTGTCTCCAACGACTGTGCTGGCCAAAATCAACATCCAGGCTACCTGGCTACTAGGTCTCGACTGGGACGCGTCTCTGCCAAGCGAGGAGCCAGAAATGGCTGCGATTCCAGAGGAGCTAGCGGCATTGGAGAAACTAGTCGTGCCTTGTTGGTTAGAGCCCTAGCTGACTCCCATCAAGAGGTTCACGGATTTGCCGATGCCTCCGAACGTGCCTACGCCGCAGTCATCTACCTGCGAACAAACACAAACGGAGTTAGGAGAGTGACTTTATTAGCTGCGAAGACCAAGCTCGATTGGTCGCCCACGTCGTGCCTCTTATTGGCGCAGAAAAGGCGCCTCTCCATCTGTGGTCGGATTCCCCGTGACTCTCGGCTGGATCCGGGGCCACCCTTCGTCCTGGGTCACTTACGTCGTCTAATCGGGTGAGTGAGATCCAGACGCTGACTCCGGACGCCACTGGCACCACGTCCCCGGCCGAGAGATCCCGCGGACTGCGCGTCACGAGGACTCTACCCCAGCGAGCTTGTGGACCATTCACTATGGTGGCAAGGTCCGTCGTGGCTGTCCTCCGAGAGCCAACCGTGGACGATCAACTGCGAGGAGCCACCAGAGGATGACCTCCCAGAGAGCGCGTCCGCGCCCACGTCGCCGCCATCGCCGAACAAAGACTGAGCCGGAGATGCTTCTTCCGATACTCGTCGCTACAACGCCTGCTCCGGATCACTGCGTGGTGCCGTCGCTGGCTGCGGATCCATCGTCAGGACCACCTCGCGCATGGCCAGCCCGGCTTGAACAGCGCCGACGAGATCGAAGACTCCCGGATCTCCTGGTTAAAAATCATCCAGGCTGAAACATACAAAGAAGAACTGAGACACCTGAAGAATGGAAAGCCTCTGCCGACTCGAAGCTCCCTACTGAAGCTAAGTCCTTTTCTGGACAGTGAGGGACTCCTACGCGTCGGCGGGCGCCTTAAACACCGGCACTGCAGTATGATGCCACGCATCCAACCATACTACCAAGCAGATCTAATTTTACTTGCCTCATTATCGACGACTACCACAAGCGACGCTGCACGGCGGCACCCAGTTGACCTTGTGCTCTCTTCGCCAGGAGTATTGGGTCCCTCGAGGTCGCGCTCTAGTGAAGAGCCGCATCAGCCGGTGTCTAAGGTGCACCAGATGGCGGGCTGCCATCCCTCAGCCACTGATGGGGGACCTCCCGGCACCACGAGTTACTCCAGGCCGGCCGTTTCTGCATACCGGCGTAGACTACGCCGGACCGATTTGGATGCGAACAGCAGGGGGCCGCGGACTCAAGGCGACAAAAGGTTTTATTGTTGTCTTTATTTGTTTAGCTTCCCGAGCAGTCCACCTCGACGCGGCCTCGGACTACACCGCTGACGCCTTCCTTGCCGCTTTGCGTCGGTTCGTCGCCAGGCGAGGAGTCTGCCACTCGCTATATAGCGACTGCGGCACCAACTTCGTGGGTGCCGATAAGCAGCTTAGGCAACTATTTTCCGCCGCCAGTGCCGACGGACATCGCATCGCAACCTTCGCCGCCCAGGAAAGAATCCGGTGGCGGTTCAACCCCCAGCTGCACCTAACTTCGGCGGTTTATGGGAAGCTGCCGTGAAACGATGAAGCACCACCTTCGGCGAGTCATCGGTGACGCCACCCTCACCTACGAGGAGATGACTACTCTCCTAGCCCAAATTGAGGCCTGCCTCAATTCCAGACCGCTGCAGCCGTTGTCTGACGATCCGGAGGATGTAGCCGCACTCACACCTGGTCACTTCCTGGTCGGCTCCGCTCTCTCGGCGATCCCCGAACCGTCGCTCGAACGAGAGCCGTCGGCACGTCTCTCACGGTGGCAGCTCCTGCAAAACATGAAGGACCATTTCCTGGTCTCGGTGGGTCAGCGAATACTTACACACGCTGGCCCATCGGCCGAAATGGTCCCGAATTAATCAGGAGGCTCGCGTCGGTCGAATCTGCCTCGTGCGAAACGAAATAACACCACCAACACGGTGGCCGCTTGCGCGCATTACACGACTGCATCCAGGTTCCGACGGTAACGTTCGCGTAGTCGACGTCCGCACCTCGACCACAAATTTGACGCATCCCGTGAACAAGTTAGTCTTTCTGACCGACGGCTCCGAAGACTCACTCGAATCGCAATCACGCGTCGTCCGCGTTTAAAAAATTTACACTTTTCTCTATTCCATATTCACATTCATTTATTTTTTTTCACTAAATTTCATTATTCTCCTCACAATTGTACTTCACACTCACAGTCACTTGCACATCGCCAGCATACGGTCTACGCGACGCTTAACCTATACGCGTCTATACTGACTCCCAGTATAAACAGCTGATCGATTCAGCATTCCGTTCTCTAAATCAATCGGAGCACGTGCGCTCCACGTGTCCGTCACGCACAAGCGCGTGAATAGGCTCGTGCCCCACTCTCGCGCTGAGAACACGATTGCAGGTATATTACTGCAAGGCGGGCGAAATGTTCGAGATTCGAACGGTAATAACCCGCGGACAAAAAAGCGTTAAAATATTCATGCATCTCAATCATGCCTCATGCAGCATGCATTTAATTTATTAATTAATATCGTGGTCTAACATGCGTATTTTAAATTATATTTAAATTAGCGCTCGGCCGCGAGAGTATACGGATACTCCGCGCCTTCGAAAATAAGCGCTTAAAACAGTCTAAATTGTAAACACCGCTGTCGCGCGAGAGGAGAGAAAACAAGTAAATAATTACAGTAAACGTTCCTTCGCCCTTAATATCACAATAAACGACAGCAATGTACTCGAATATTCTATAATTACAAGGCGTATATAAGCCTCCTCTCTCGCGACCGCGGCGCTTTTTCCGATTGCTCATCGCGAATAAAGTGTGTTCATACGATAAAGATGCTTGTCTTTGTCTAATTCATTACCGTTGCTTGCGGACACTTAGTAATTTAAGACTCGGCTAATTCTCTCGGTAAATTCGGTGCGGTATATTAATTGTAATTTTTGTTAATAGTTTATATAAATATATTTTTTTTGTGAACGTTACGCGTGTGTCGAGTGTTTTGTTACGTCTCGTGGGGTCGCGGCTGCGAAAATTTGAATGCAGAGCTCGGCTTTTTCCACGAGACACGATCGCTATTACGGGTACGCGAATCTATGCGATTCTCCCCGGGGATACCCGCGATCTGAGGTTATTCGCGCTGGAACTGAGGTGATCGGATTATTGCGAGGGACCTACCTGTGACTCTACTGTAATAAAGATAGCTTCGTCGATTGCTCTATGCGAAACGTCGTTGGGGTTGCGTAAGTAATCTTCGTACGTAAACTGACAAAGCTCGCACAAATCACCGATTCGCGTGAGGGTAAGTCGGAAGTTGCAGACTCCGCAATTTATTCCGATAGGTGTTCCGCCTATGATTAGAGTATGCTTCCGAATCCTTGTCCAAAGTAATTTCGAGACTCTAGGTAAGGTGGAGTAGCATGAAATGCAGAGAGCTGCCTTAGTCTCAAAATGGATGTACCCGACACCAACTTGGCAATAGAATAAGGGTTCAAACGGTACGAAGAGATTAACTTCTGGAGGAGGAGTTATACCTCTAAGGGTGAGTGGGCACATTTGTGTTTGTTGCGTAATCGAATTGATAATGCGTCATTCGCTCGTAGATCTTCGGTGAACCCGGCAGTTATCGAGAAGTTAGTAGTCGTCGGCAAAACCGTCGGTAATTGTTCAGTAAAACACTGGTAAGGTGCCAGTAAGGTGTCGATAACCCGTTGGTAAAAGAACGTATGTCGGTATATCGTCGGTAATGTCGGTAAAAGAACGTATGTTGGTATATTGTCGATAACGTCGGTAAAAGAACGTATGTCGGTATATCGTCGGTAATGTTGGTAAATCGAAAGTGTTCTCAATTGATTATTGTTTAAATGACTACTTTGTTGTACGGATTTACGAAGTTATTTTTTGAGACACAAGATTTTTAAGAGATTGAACTATTTGCGTTTTTCCGTGTTAGAATTCCGAGAGTGGCACCGCATGTGGTGGTCGACCCTAGTTTTATAGCCCGACCTTTTTTTTATAGCTTCCGCAGTGACGATGGAAAAGAGGAAAAATGCGTCGGAGATTTTTCTAGAATGTTCTCTTCCACGTGGTAGAAGCGTCTCTGAATTTGCTAACACGCGCGATTCCTTAGGTTAACGTGAATTTCACTTACCTTTAGTAGCACTTTCTTGATCGTGTCGGCTCGTACTTGGAGGTAGTGCGTGCGGCGAGGGTCGTTCACTGGGATGTTTGGCGGCGGCAGGCGTCGTGGTTGGAACGTTATTGGTATGCACTTCCACTGTAGGAGTTCGTCGTTGTTATTATTTTTAATGTTGAAAATGTTCTCGTATTCAGGATCGGCCTGATATTCCACTCCGAGGAATTGAGAATATTCCTCGGTCGCTGATTCGCGATAAAGTCGGTTTAGTTTTCGTAATTGATTCTTCCTTCCTGCGCGTCGCGTCTTAGGCATATTGAATTTGATGCATCCTCTGAATGATTACTCAAATAAGGAGGGTTGATATGCGGCGGACCTCACTATCAATTCCTTATTTTGGCAAATGCTGAGAATGTTAATTCTGACTGTGATGAGCGGTGGTCCGCTCCAAACACAGTTTGAATTATTCTGAATTCAAACGCCGTATGACAAATTTAAACGCTATCGTATTTTATCACGGGAGTGGAAGTTTTGAAGAATACTGAACACTAGTTTTCACACATGAATACACTGATTTATTCGTATAGTAGTACAAAATTCGAGACTAAAACTTAGAATTAGAATTTAGATTTAGACTTAGAATTTAGAGTTAGAATATTATACTTAGAGTTAGAATTTTAGAATTAGAGTTAGGATTTAGAATTTGGACTTAGAGTTAGAATTTAGGAGTGCGACTATACTGTTCGGTGTCGCGCAGAGAACTGCCGAAATTCGGGACTGCTCTGAGGTCCTTCGTTTCGGCGGCTCGGGCCTGCGGCGGCCTGGAGAGGGGAAACTCTCCGGAGTAGGGGCTCTCACCGTGGTGGGAGATCCTTAGGCGCTACGAAGCGCCACGCTTAGTTTCTAGGCGGAGTTAAGCGTCATGGCCGGCTTTGGCGCGCTTTTCAAATAGCGTTTAAGGAACTTGGAGTAAACGAAAAAATTTATACGGCCGGACGTGACACCTCCCCCCTTAAAATAAAAATGTTGGAATTTAATGTTCCAACATTTTGGACTTAGTTTTCTATGCGCTACGATTAGGTTCTTAACTTAACATTGATTATGTAAATATTTATTTAGTTCGCCGTAATCTTTCATTGGGGGAACACTCGTAGGGTGAGTTTTTGCACACACTTTGCCACTGTCTGATTCGTTAATCGAAGGGGTTTGTTGTGTGGGCAGGGTTAAGGGTGTTTCTTCTTCGTTCGTTGGAGGGGGTTTCTGGTGTAGCAGTTCTCGTCCGTTGTCCTGTTCTCCGTCCGCTGATCTACCAAGGTGTAGGAGAACGTTGGTCACCGAGGTCCAAATGGCTCCGAGTAGATGTAGACTCCATCCGTACACCGAGTGGAGTGCGTACCCATGGATCAGGGTGTCGATTATTAATTTTATCAACCGTACGGTAACGAAG